GAAGTGCACTAGCTTCACTTTATCTGAAGGAGAGGCGGCAGCGTCGGGACGGGGGGGGGGGGGAGTACGGAGATGTTGGAGACTTGCCTTAGACGCAGGACGACTTTCAAATCTAAACAATTTGAAACGCTATTTTCTGCATTTTGAGAAATTTGCTAGCTGAATTTCACGTCTATGTTAAAGTATACATTTTGTCTTGTATGATTTTGTATGTATGATTTTAGACTGCCGGGCTATAATCTGTTGTTCAGTGCATGTTCTAGTAATAATCTTGGACAGATGACATGGATTTGAAACTGTATTCCTCAAGAAGAGTCTTTATTTCACTCTCGCGGATGGTTTGAGCAGATGAACAATTGTTTCAAGGAAAATATGCGGAGATATAAGGTTACCATGTGGATGTTTGGCTGATGTAACAGGTTTATATCTAAACGTATGCATGCAAATTTTACGAGATGTCCCAAATGAGTAAGAAAGGATCAAGACGTTACAAAAAAGCTAATAAAATGTCTCGAAAAGCCAAGGGTAACTTAGTCACGAAACAAAGTCATTACTGTACTTCTCCGCCCATTCTTTATTGATAGGGTGTAAGTATAACACATCATTGATAAAACATTAACAAGTAGGCTTTTGTGTCGTACTAGTTCATCACACACCTCATAACTCGGTCCACTTAGGGATGTGTCTACGTAAACCTACGTACACTCTGACGTAATGTCCTAGATGGACATACGAATTTCCTTGATGGCGGTATTAAAAGATTTGTGAAGTCATGCATCACAATGTACAGTCTGGTTTGGCGAAGTACAACAAAGTTTTGCTTGGAAACTTTATCCTTACAATGTACTCGGTATATATATATATATATATACTACATGTCAGGACGCTCACAGAATTACAGGTCTTTTCTTTCTATCTTAATGCGCCTACAATGTTTTTTCCGCAAGGAAACACGTACATGCATCATCGTACGTCGTAGCTTTGATTTTAATTTTCAAAGTACTGTGCCCATTTATTCCGAGGCTCAAATTTACGGTCGAAACCCTCCATCGTAGGCGCATTGTACGATGTATGTGACCGGGGCTTAAGTCCATATCCCTGGCTTCAATCTTGTTTTATTCATATCTATGCCTAATAAAACAGATGACTGCATATTACAGATGCCAATATATGACAAATCTGATTGTGCTAAACTGCAGGAAGACATAGATAACATCAGCCTATGGGAGCGCAGGTGGCTTATGGAGTTTAACCCTTCAAAGTGTGAAGTAATGACCATCCCATCATCCAAAACTCCAATTACTCACTCGTATATCCTCCACAACCAGCTCCTAAACAAGGTAAGTTCCACTAGATACCTTGGGTCACCATATCCTCCAACC